CTGAAGAAGGGTCTAGGCCCGAAACGTCAGCCTTCCTGCTCCTCTGATGCTGCTTGGCCTGCTGTGTTCATCCAGCTCTACACCTTGTTATCCCCAGAACGTTATCTGGGTTTCTGGATTAACAGTCCAGCGATAATGCCACCAGGCCATTGCTTCCCTTGTTCAATAATCAGTATTCTTACAAATATATGGTTATCTTTTTATATGTATTTCTTCATATCTGGTAGAATGCTAGTGAATATTTGTAGACTCTCAAATGTCTCGTACAGCCCATAAGGTATGTATTCATCATTCAAATCTCTACACAGTTTTGCCACTCCCCATCTCTGCGATCTCCTCCAGTCTATGGAATCTCTGTGCTCCTCCAGTTCGTGCCCATTGAACATCTAATTCCATTGCTCCACAACTGGTGGCTGCACCTTTACTTCCTTGGCCCTAAACCTTGAAGTATCTTCCTTAAACCTTTCCCATCCTTTCTGAAAACTTACTTCTTTCATTAAGATTTTGGGCATCCATTACATTATCTCTTTACATGATGTGATATCAGAGTGATCTGCTAATCACTCTTGCAAAGCACATTGGCATGTTTTACTGGAGTAAATGTGCTCCTTTGACCTTTATTGTTGAGTCAGTCTAATTACATGCTCAAATTTCTGGAAGAGACTTTAATATAAAACATTTGGAGGCGTTACTAAGTAATCCATGGCTACCAACACCAATGTACCATCTCAAGCTGCAGACTGGATCGGTAACCTGACTTTAAGATGGTCAGACAGTGCAGTCAGTAAGTGGGAGTACCTGAGATATCGATACGGGCAGGGCATTCTGCCACCACCCAGTGATTCATGGGAGGAAGCTCTCCCTGGCCCATGGAGATAAATGTTCGTGCTGACATCACAGCTTGTCGGATTAGGATCTGTTCCGCCCCCTCATAATGACGGGCAGCCCTCACCAGGAGGCCTGGTCTGTGTTATGTGAGACAGAAAATTGCATCAATAGACTTGGCAGGAGTTAAATGAACAATTAACAATCAGCTTCAAGATGGTTCAGTGACAAGTTTTCAAATAGGAGTTCGTCGGACCCTCAGGTTCCCATGCCTCTGCACCCATGCAAAGCAAGTCCAGAATTCTACATTACGTATCACATTCTACTTGTTTGCTGCAAACTAATTCAGGACATTGCAAAAAAAAAAATCACTGTTTTCCTTGGAGTAGCTGACAGTAGTTTGGATGTTAGTTTAGGGAGTCCCTGGTAGTAGTTTAATATTCATGCAGACTCCTGGATTTAACTCACCTCTATCAACACTTATTTGGGCTGGAAGCAGCACAATCAATCATTAGAAACATTCCACTCTTCCACAGAACAATACCCCTTTTTCTGGGAACAGATCCATGGGTGGCATCAATATGCTGGTTAATGAGGCCGAATGGTACCAAAGTTTGACTCTACCCTCTGGTACCAGTGACATGCCTCCATGTCAATTTGTACTGAAGGAGCACATGAAACAGATTCTTAATGTCGGTTCCGATCAAAATAGCTTATTTGTTCAACATAGGGACTTAATAGATAATTTTCCATCCTTTCTGATCAGATAGTTCTCCTTTCTCCAAACAGTTAAAAACTAATTTCCACTCTCCATTCCTTCTACATTCTGTATGGTTAGGCGACTTCCGGTAGACTGGGCACATTTACATAAGAGTGTAAAATTTCTTCTTACAGTGGAAGAATTCTCTGCATGCTAAGCCTTGTGGTGATGTCCTATCCCTCAGACATGGACAACGTTCATGTATAAGTTAAAACTCAGTAGGACATACTGATAGAGTGAGATGAAGATTCTGGAGGAGGAAGTTCATGTGCAGCATATGCATTGAACAGTTGGACTGAACAGCCTGTTAATGTTCTGTAACTTACTTCTAAACATTTACGTCAGCCGATTATTAAGGTCTCATAGCGATGGAGGCCTCAGCCCTATACTTCTGGTCAGGTACAATGCACAGGAGCAGAAGGCCCTCACAGCCCGAGATACTGGATTTCCTCAGCGAGAAAGACAATGGTGGAAGCTGCAGTCGCTTGTGTTATGGTCCCAGCTTTTATCTAGTCAATTTGTTTATGATGTTTTACATTCTCATATGGATATTCTTTTCATCTCTTCCTCATTCTTTCAATCTGAAAATAATCCTTCAATAAAGGCTTACCAACAAAGCAAATGTTTCATTCAAGTCAAGTTCCAGAATGAATTCTGATTTAATAGGTCATGTTGTAGGGTATCTGGTTAGAAATAAAAGGTGTGATTGATAATTAAGGATTACTAGTCAGGTAGGACACATATAGACATCAAAACATTTACAGATAAAGATGCCAGTTGGAATTAACCAGTAAAGACATCATTGCAGCTAGCAGGAAATCCAGAAGGGTTCATTTTGAAATCAGCATATAGCTAGGAGGGGATTTGGAGGTAACACAAATGCTTTTAATTAGATTAATAGATTAATGCTTAGCACAGACAACAAAAAGCTATTAATAAAAAATTAATCATTGCCTAGGAGGAGGTATGAGAACATTACACCTAAGCATGATGATTAGTTGTTAATTACAGGAGCAATATGGAGCCATCCAACTGATAAGAGAAGGCAAAGATCCATATTACATGAATACCACTAGAAACCAGGAAGCCACAATAACCACAGAAACAGAGAAAATGAAACATGTTCTTTACTGATAAGCCTTTATTGAAGGATTATTTTCATATTGAAAGAATAAGGAAGAGATGAAAGGAATATCCAAATAAGAGTTTAATACATCACAAACAAATTGATTAGGTAAAAGCTCACAATTTCATAAAGGAATCCTAAACATACAATTAAGAAATGCTGTTAAATGATACATCATCACAGGAAAGTGCGAGAAACCTATGGAGAGTTAACAGCCACATTTATAAAAAGGAGAAACCAAGTAATATAAAAATTAGACACTTTCACTGAAATTTCAGAACTATTAGGTACCCACAGGTAATAGTTCTCAAAAGGTTTTTTTCCCCACTGGGAGAAGATATCTTTCTTGCTCGAGGATTTAAGGTAAAGTTTTACTGTAAATACTCTGTATATTCTATGCTTAGATATTCCGAGGTGATCTTAGGTATTCCTGAATAGTTAAAAATAACATCAAAGTAGATTCAGTCAGATTTGGTCTTGTATCTTTTGGTAGTTTTTGGCACAGCGATATCCACTTAAAAGTGTATTGCTTCTTCATTGTTCTTAATATCAATTATAAAATCAGTGAATTTTTCATTTAAGCTTTTCTGTTATCACCAAAACAATCCCTACACTCCATATACTCCTTATAGAGAAAAAACCTAGACCCTGAAAATACCTGGGACATTTGTAACATAGCTAGGGCTTATTAAAATTACACAGGCCATTTAGAAGAAGATAACATTCTTGAACAGCTTTTTGTCCTGTGGGATGGGTTTGTGAATCCTGTCAATCCAAGATGAGGAGTTTGTGCGATTGACTGGCATGAATTCAGCAGACAGAGTTTATCAGAGAAATAGCCCTGATATAAATTAGCTGCACATTAGAGTTAAAGGTTATAAATCAATTCAATTTTCTTTTATTTAACATGGTGGCCATTCACTGAAATATAAACACACAAGGTTGCAGATTTTCTTTAACAATATTCATAAAAGGAAAACCAATAAAAGAAAAAAACTAAGTTAGCTAAATATTGAACACAGTTTGAAAGATCTTAAAACACACAGCAAAACAAAGTCTCATCTATTCCCCAACACTATCACTTTATAGTGATAAAAATCCAGTTGTTACCCCTCTATCTCAAACCTTTAAGTTGTACTCAACTGATTCATCCCAGTTCATTCCGATGAACTAAGGCTTCTTACATAGGTACTCATAAAATTGACAGCTTAGTCTTTTAACAATTTGCCAATTTCTAATCAAACACTCCTGGTCTGGAAACTGCACACAAACTAACTTTCTATTAAGGTAACTTATTTCCCAAACTTCTCGATACTCCTTTCTTGGAGAGAAATTATACCGTGCTTCTGTTCCCAATCTGATCTCCTCTGAACTGGTCAAAAACCTCAAATCTCTGTAGTTTCCTGAACCAAAATCAATCCCATGTTATCCTGAATCAAAATCAAGCTAATGGCCCTCAATATTTATATTCCCTGTCATAAACCTAGGGCTCCCTTCTCTCCAACACATATGGGATAAAGTTACTGTTCCAGAAAAATTAACTGAGCTAGTTTTATTTAAACCCTTCACAAAAGTAACAAAGCCCATATGCCACTATTTGAAAATCCAAACTTTAAAATGGATATAAATTTGATACCTTTCATCATACCCAAAAACATGAATATATTATCCAGCAATTTATTCAACTGTAAAGAAGGTTCATCTTTACCTGTTCAGCCATTTGGCCCGCTCCTCCGCCAATCTCTTCACTCCGAGCACCACATTCCTGTTTTCCAGTAGGCGGAAAGCATCAGTCCATGCTGGATTGGCAGCAGGTCCACTCCGGAGCCCTCCTTGCCCTCCAGCCATGCAACCCAAGACATCAGCAACACAGGCAAGGGTACGGGCTGCGATGCCCAGGTCCTCAGTGGTAGTAGCAACTGTAAACCAAGAAAACAGTCAGGCTTCAACTCAATAAAAAAAAACCACAGCAATTCTTCATTTGGGCTGAAATTCAACTGGATGGCCGTGTGAAAAGTGAATGAGCTGCCTGGTAGATACCTCCTGCTACTCACACATGGTCTCTCAAGAAGATGACTTTCTTCCATCCTGATGCTGTGGGTCCCAAGCTGACTAAACAGTCCAATGCTGTTGGTGGTTAAGTGGGGTGTGAAGGGCCAGGTGGGTGAGATGCTTGGGTTTCAAACCCTCTTTCCGTGTGTTTGGCCTCCACCTGTGCCTATGGGCGATGTTCAAGGTGGTTGGCATGTTCACAGATGCTTGTTCTCCAGTTTGGGTGGTCTTGGGCAGAGATTTTCAGGAGTCAGTGCATTTTCTCAGTGAGGCCTTCAGTACGTCCTGGAAGCATTTCTTCTTCTGCCCTCCTGGGAATTTTCCATGATGAAGGTTGGAGTGGAGGGCAGGTTTTGGAAACCTTGTGACAGACAAACAAATGATGTTGCCCACCCAACTGCATTGACTAACCATTGCCAGTGTCTCGATAACTAGGGTGCTGGTCTGAGAGAGGTCACAATATTCAAAACATTCCAATAGATATGCAGGACTTTGCAGAGGCATTGGTGGTGATATTTTTCTAAGGATTTGAGATGTTTATCATACATTGTCCATGTCTCTGATACATACAGGCAGACTGGTAACACTGCTGCCCTGAGACAGTTAGCTAGGTTCCATCTTTGGGTTCTTTGTTTTCAAACACTTTGCTCCTTAGATGGCCAAAAGTTGTGCTGGCACACTAGAGGTGATGTTGAATTTCATCAGAGGATTGGTGGGTGGTGACGTTCCTATGTATTTGCTGCCTTTGCCCTTCTTGGTAGTACAGGTCTCAAGTTTGGAAGGTGCTGCCTAAGGAGCTTTGGTGAGATATTGTGGTGCATCTTATAGATGGTACATACTGCTGCTGCTGTGCATCAATACTGAAGGGTGTGAATGTTGAAAGTGATAGGTGGAGTGTTGATCAAGTAGGTTGCTTTGTCCTGGATGGTGTTCAGTGGTGTTGAAGCTGCAATCACCTCAGGCAAGTGGACAGTATTCGATCACACTTGTAGATGGTAGACAGGCTTTGTGAGTTAGGAGGTGAGTTACTTGCTGCAAGATTTGTAGCTTCTGACCTGCTCTTGTAGCATCTATTTATATGGCTAGTCCAGTTCAGTTTCAGGTCAATGGTAACCCCCAGAATGTTGCTACTGGGGGAGTTCAGTGATGGTAACAGCATTGAATGACAAGGGACAAAGATTAAGATTCTCTTACACACTCTCTTCCACCCTCTTCCATTGGGAGAAGATACAAAAGTGTGAAAATATGTACCAACAGATTTAAGAACAGCTTCCTCCCCCCGTTATCAGATGTGTGAACAGACCTCTCATATTAGAGAACTGATCTTTCTCTGCAGCTTCTCTGTAGCTGTAACATTATATTCTGTATTCTGTTCTATTACCCTGATGTATTTATCTAAGATATGATTTGTCCGGATAGCACGCAAAATAATACTTTTCATTGTATCTCAGTACATGTGACAATAATAAGTCAAATTAAATCAAATCAAATCTTGTTGTAGATAGGCATTGCCTGGCACTCCTTGTGGCGCAAATGTTACTTGCCACTGCTCAAGTCTTGTTGTGTATGGACAAGAGCGACTTCAGTATTTGCAGATGAAGACAAGGAAAATGCATATACTTTAACATTTTAGAAATTAATAGTTATTTTAATTGATATTCAAAGAATTGATAATCTCAAGGATATTGGTTATAACACAACTGTGAAAAACATCTGAATAAAACAGATAAAACCTTTTTATTGTCCAGCATCCTAATGTCCAATATCAGACCGCTCCAACTGTTTTTGAAATAGACTGGTGCAAGGTAGGAAGCACATCAGACAATTTAAGCAGTGCAAAAACCCACAAACAGCACTGCAATAAATGACTAAATAATCTATTTCCAGTCCTCACCTGTTCCCCCTTCCCCTCCCTCCCACCGTCCTCCCCACTAAAAGGATCTTCCTTTGCCACTTCCACCACCTCCAGCAGAGTACCACCACCAAACAAATCTTCCCCTCCCCTCCACTCTCAGCATCCCACAAGGACCATTCCCTCTGTGACACCCTGGTCCACTTGTTCATCACTTCTAACATTTCTTCACCTCCATGGCACATTACAGTGCAATTGCAAATGGTATAACACTTACTCATTCACCTCCTCCCTCCTTGCTGTCTGAAACCCCAAGCACCTTTTCCAGGTAAAGCAGCATTTTCACTTGTACTTCTTTTAATCTAGTGTACGATATTCACTGCTCACAATGCAGTCACCTTAACATTGGCAAGACCAAATGCAGACTGGGACACCACTTTGCAGTACACCTCTGCTCAGTCTAGAGGAATATCCTCAACCTCCCAGTTACTTGCCCTTTCAATAACCTACCTTGCTCTCATGCTAATATTTTTGTCCTGGGCCTGCTACAGTGTTCCAATGAAGCTCAATGCAAGCTGGAGGAACAATATTCTATTTTATGCTTAGGCACTTTAAGGTTTTGGAGTAGATCTGTAGCTCGGGTTGTGGGTGTTGAGGTTGGTTGTTTTGCAGACGTTTCGTTACCATGCTTGGTAACATCCTCAGTGCAGCCTCCGATGAAGTGTCGGTGTGTTTTCCCACCTGGTTTTTAAACTCTGGGGTCTGTTGAGATGGATTGCCTCACTTTCGGTTTTCCTTCGTTAGGCACTTTACAACCTCTAAGATTCAATACTGAGTACAACAACTTCAGACAAAACAACCTTTGTCCTCCATTTTGATTACAACCCCCACTGTTCTTGTCTTGTTTGTATCTTGTTGACTTTGGTATCAGCAGAGTGGATCCATTTTTACCTTTCCACACTTATTATTTACACCTATTTCACATCCCTATTACTCCTCTACCACCAATAGCACTACCTTTGTCTTTTGCTGTCTCACCATCTGTCCCACTCACTTCTCCTTCTGTGTCGACAGCGTAAAAACCACCTTTTCCCAGTCCTTTTCAGTTCTGAGAGTCATACTGGATTTGAAATGTTGACTCTGTTGCTCTCTTCACAGATGCTGTCAGACCTGCTGAGTTTCTCCAGTACCTTCTGTTTTTAGAATCTATTAACGTCAAGGGATAAACACTGACAAGAGCAGCTGGGTGAACTCACCTAGTATAGGCTCATGCGATCTTTAACTCCACGTGAGGCAGACATAGTTTAATTATGTAACATCAAAAGAAAAATCTCCAAACTGAAAATCAGTTTCCAGTGACACTGACTCATAAAAAGACAGCTCTCACCTGTATCGAGAGTGTTGAGGATATGTTGCTCATGACCTTCACAGACAGCTGCCCTGATCAGAGGCCAGAGGCTGTTGTCTCTGCGATTCAGCAGTGTACTCTGGACTTTATGTTGAGCCTGTTTAAGGAAGAGCTGCTGTCGCCAGGCAAGCTCAGCTTGCTGGTCCAGGCAGTTCAGGACTTCCCTCAATGATAGACGCCAAGCTGACTGCCACTTGCTCAGGAACCGTCCTTTCTCCGATCTCAGAAACCACAGCACATCCTCCATCCCAATGGGTTCCGATGTATGGAGGATTGGAAAGAGCTGAGCATTTAGCAGGCACCGGTCACCTTCAGGAATGCTGGGATCCCACAGCTCCTCCTTCCTAAAAAAACCAGAGATCTTTGATTCAGAGACTTGCATTTTTCCCTTAAAACTTCTTTAGGCTGGTTTGGAGGACGGGATAGTGACAGTGATAAGTGACCCTGGACACTACTGTGTGTATACACACAAATTAAAAGCAGGAGGAGGCCACTCAGCCCCTCAGTCTGCTTTGTTATTCACTCAGATCATGGCTGATCTGATTACACCACATTCCAGCCTGCCCCTTTAATCTTTCAACCCCTAGGTTATGAAGAATCTATTGAATTCTTCTTTAAAAGTATTTAAAGATTCCATCACCTTTTGAACAAGACAATCCCAAAGACACTCAACACTCAGAAAAAAAATTCTTTTCATCTCAGCCTTAAATAACCCCTTATTTTTAAACGGACTCCACATTTCAGATTGTCCCAGAAGAGGAAACATCCTTACCACATGCATTCTGTCAAGACCCCTGAGGATTTTGTATATTTCAAACAAGTCACCTCTCACACTTTTAAACTGTGTGAATTCTGGTGGAAGAAGTGAACCTTAACATTACCCCTGAATAGCCCAGTCCTCATTGTCCTGGTCTCCCCATCTATCCCACTGCAACACCTCAAGGAGGAACTGCACTGGCCTTAAAGCTTACTGAAATAGCAGATGTCTTTCTCCTTTTTATTAAAATGAAGGGTAAATTCTACTTTTTGGACTAAGCACCACACTGTGCATATGAGAAACCTGCATTAACTCTCTCTGATCTTTTCACCCTGCCTTTGGGAACACAGTTGGACTTCCCTTTACACATTGGGGTAACGACGGTCCAGTGGTATTATTGCTAGATTACTAATCCAGAAGTAAGATCCAAATAATGTTCAGAGGACCTGGATTCGAATCCCACCATAGCAGATGGTGGAATTTGAATTCAATAACATCAGTGGAATGTGTAAAACTGTAAAAACCCACCTGGTTCACTAATGTCCTTTAGGGAAGGAAATTGCTGTCCTTATCTGATCTGACCTACACGTGACTTCAGATCCACAGCAATGGGAATGACTCTTAAGTACCCTCTGGGCAATTGTGGAGGGATAATGCATGCTGGCCTAGCCAGTGATGCCCACAACCCATGAATTAAAAGGAAATCTACAAGCCAAGAGGTAGAATTCAGTAGAATGAGGATATGGGAGTGCACCTTCCAACTGAGGGTACCAAAGATGTATTTAACTCAGTAAAGTACACTGAGAATACAAAGCTAATAGATTAACATTCATCTTCCACTAAAAACAAAAGAACTCTTTATTCTACTCAATTTACATTCAGATCAGGAAGGTTCAAGCTCAGACTGTACTGATCTCAGCCAACAGGGAGTAAGGAGCGTATAATGGCTTCTGTGCTCTACATTTAGGGAGGCAAGTCTAATGCAGGACTTGCTGTTACTTGCTATCCAGTAGTGGGATGAATGAATATATAGGTGAGGACAGGACCAGGACCAGCTTTGAGGTCCACAAATAGCCTTTGATCACACATATTCAATGGTTACTTGTTAAGATAGCATTGAGCATCTGTGAAACTCTACCAAGAACTCAAAGTTTTAAGAATGGAAGGGGCATGAGGATAAAAGAAAACTTGTCCAGGGAATAAGGACTAGAAAAGGGAACAGTAACAGCAATATAGAGAAAGACCAAGGCAGTGACACTGTCAAATGTTAAATGACCTCCTTCTGTACTGAATGATTCTACGTCTAGAATTTCCAACACTTTCGTCAATAGTGCACAGGAGCTCAGGGAAGCACAGAGCAGCCTTACTTTATTCCTGTCCTTGAAAAAAACGTGGCCCATGGAATGTTCAGGAAGGTGGAAGAATCATTGGCGAAAGGCACCTGTTAGAAAAGAATACAGTGTGATTCATTCCATGGCTCAGAAACGGCAGTGGAAAGGGATGTGAGATGTCCAGACAGGGCTGGACGCATGTTGAGCAGGTTAAGTCCATGTAGATCCAAAGCTGAAATATCAATGGGCACTGCGATTGATTACATCAATGTGCAGCACACTTAGTCAGGTTCAAAACCACAATAATGCAGCTGTAGCCCTTCAGACCCAGGAGTGAAATCTCCACTGTTCCAAATACATTCTTAATTCTTCCTTGTGGCTACCTCTGACTATCCCAATCTATATGAAGTTGAAAGTCAGTCATAATTAACATACTGCCTTTTTAACATACCCTCAAGCATTGTGCTTAGCTGAGATGCTCTTCATGGTTTAACGGCTCACTGTCTTTCTCATTATTTCAGTTCAGGCAAGACAGATTTGGTGAGGCTCCATAGCGGTGAGGCTGACATTTATGGCACTATGTACTAGCGAGAGGTAGTTCCTTCAGCACAGCAGTGGAAAGGGATAAGGGGTGAAGCTACAAATAAAGCTGGACAATATCATTATTACATTAGGATATTATCAAGCTGGAGAGGGTTCAGAAGAGATTTACAGGATGTTGCCGGGTATGGAAGGTTTCAGTTATAAAGAAAGGCTAGATAGGCTGGGACTTTTATTGCTAGGGTGTCGGAGGTTGAGAAGCAACGTGATAAAACTTATAAAATAATGAGAGGCATGGGTAGAGTTAATGGTAGTTGTCTTTTCCCTAGGATGGAGAATTTCAAGACTAGGGGGCACATTTTTAAGGTGAGAGGAGAGAGATTTAAAAAAGAAATGAGGCAAACTTTTTTACACAGAGGGTGGTTTGTGTGTGGAATGAACTTCCTGAGGAAGTGGTGGATGTGTGACAACATTTAAAAGACATTTGTATAAGTACCTAAATAGGAAAGGTTTGGAGGGATACAGGCCAGGAACAGGCAGGTGGGACTAGTTTAGTTTAGAATTATGTTCGCCATGGACCGAAGTGTCTGTTTCCATGCTGTATGACTCTATGACTGGTCCTAAATTGGAGCACTGAGATGGGCTGGTTAGAAAGGTCAGCAAGAGGACTAGAGCATGCTCCAGGCTGTAATGGGCAAGGACGAGAAAGGGTCTAGATTGGTCAAAAATTGCTAAAGGTTCTCAATCGCAGCCCTTTTATTCTTCCTTGGGAGTGAGCATCGCTGGCAAGGGAATTTATTGCCCATCCCTGACTGCCCTTGAGCTTAGTGACTTGTTGGGGCCAATTCAGTGGCTGTTTAAGAGTCACTCTATTGTTGTGGGTCTGGAGTCACATGTAGGCGAGATCACAGATGAAGGACATTATTGAATTAGATTTTTATTTAATGACAATGAACAATGGTTGCCATTAGACTGGCTTCTAATTCCAGATTTTATTGAATCCAAATTTCACCATCTGCCATGCTGGGATTCAAACCTATGCTCCCAGAACATTGGGCTGCAGCTCTGGATTACTAGTTCAGTGACAATACGATTGGGCTATCATCGCCTCTAAAAATAGATATCTGACTTGCCCCCAAGACTTTCCACTGATCAGGAGAGTGAATTTTTGCAGCTGATGATGGAAACTAAATGAACAAACAGACAGATGCAAGTTAGCACTTTGACTCGTGCAGTAGACCATCCCAGTCTGAGTCCCATCAGTTGGACTGGTTTCAGCAAACCCTCAGCTCAAAATTGTTTTGAGCCATGCTTTACTGAGAATATGAGCTGATAGTAGCATTAACATGGCAACAAGGCATTTAGGACCTTAGTGAACAACAAACAGGGCTTGTTAAGTACTTAAAAATAATGGAGAGTACTGACAAACTTTTAGCTTTGCAACTCATGGCATTTCTCTGAATCATCCTTTTTCCAACAAGTTTTGGGTCACTGAATGTGAGATAAGTAACAATACTGCTTTGATTTGGAGGAAAGCTGGAAACATTCATCTGTACTTCAAAGCAAGACTCTTTCTCCTCAGACAGCAACACAGACACATGAGCTCAAATGCAAGATAACTTCAACAGGCAACACTGGTAGTGTCACTGGACTAGTAATCTCGAGGTACAGGCACAGATTTAAGCCTGCCATGGCAGCTGGTGGAATTTAAAATAAATCAAAACCTGGAATTGAAAGATCGTGTCAGTAATCATGACTATAGGATAATCATTGATTGTCATACATTGACTTCTTTTACTGGGGGAAGTCTGCCATCTTTACCATGCATGACTACAGATCCAAAGCAATGTGGTTGACTCTCAACTGCTCTCTGAAATGGCTGAGCAAATCACAACGCAGGCCCTACCAGTGGCACACACACCCCATGAAAGAATCATTTGTAAAATAAATTGGCACTAAATGGGTCAATTGAATGCACGCAGCAGTTGAAAATACGTGTTGTAGATGTGGGCAATCTCCGGAACGTGACAGATAGTTGGAAAGAATAGAGGGAACTTTACTTTTTATCCAAGTGCTCCGTGACATTGAATATTATAATTGCTGACGTTCTTCATCTTCAAACACTGTAGGATTCTTCACGTTAACTGACTAGCACATACAACACCTGCAGATCATCCTGATGTCCTGTGATGCTGAAAATCTTCAGTTTTAGGTCCCGCAGCCTGATGTGGTGTCCCTGGATGATTACACCATAGAGCTGGTACTGGCAGAGGATAGGTGATGACATCAAGTCCACTCCCGAAAGAAGACAGCCAGACCTTACATGAATGGACCCCTGGCAAAAATTAAATAATCAGGTTAAGAAACATCCTTCAGAAATGCAATGAAAACTGCAGGCTCAATGTCAGAATTTCCAAAGCAATCTCAAATAGGCAACTTATTGATCCAATTTGTCTCCTCTCTGTTTCTTCTCTCCCCAAAGTGCTGAATCACACTGTGACATCATTCCCTGTGTGTTGATGATCTCCTGTTTAACCAACATGGTCAATCTCCACATCCAAGCTGAAATACTGAGGGTTAAAAAACTTCCTGATCCTGGCGAGAGAGGACAGGAGAGCTTGCAACTATGTCCTAACTGTTTCAGACAGCTGCATCCTTTAGCAGAAGTCAAAGGGTAGCAGTGCAGCGATGGAGCCCTGATTGATTTATCTTAGGGATACTGGCACCAACTGTGACACCTTTAGAAAGGTTGTGGGTTCAAGTCCTCATCCAAGTCACTGATATAGGTTGTCAATGGTTGAGGCTTTAGTACTGATCCCTGTGGCACTCCACTTGCCAATTGAAAAATGACCCATTTCTGCCTCATCTCTGTTTTCTGTTAGCTAGACAATCCTCTATCTATGCTAATACATCATCTCCTATGTAATGAGTTCTCTTTTTGTGTAGTAACCTTTGACGTGGCACCTTGTCAAATGCCTCTGGAAATCCAAGTTCACTACATCTATAGATTCCCTTTCATCCATGTTGCTTGTCACTTCCTCAGAGTACACTAATAAATTAGTCAAACACAATTTCCCTTCCACAAAATGATGCTTTCTCTGCCAATTGCAATGAAGTTTCTAACCCCTTTAATAATGGATCCGAGCATTTTCCAAAGGTTAAAATTATAGTTGCCTGCATTTTGTCTCCCACCTTCTTTGAACAGCTGCTATTTGCTACTTTGCAGTATGACAAGACCTTTGCAGAGCCTAGGGAACTTTGCAAAATTAAAAAGTGCATCCATTTTCTCAGTAGTTATTCCTTAAAGTCCTAGGCTGAAGTCCATCAGGAACTGAGGTCTCTTTAGCCTTCAGTTCTAATAACTTTCTCACTACCCTTTCTTTGGTGGTAGAACTGTTTTATGCTTCTCCAATCTTTTTACCTCTTGACTTACACTGATTCCTGGGATGTTGTTTGTGTCTTTCACAGTAAAATCTTTGTTCAATTCACCTGCCATTTCCTTATTTTCCATTATTAATTCTCTAGGCTTGCTCTCGAGGGGACCAATGTTCACTTTTTTATTACTTTCTTTTTTAAATACCTGTAGAAACTCTTATTCTCTACTTGTTATTTCTAACCAACTCTCCCTCTCTCCAGATCATAAAGTTGTGTGTTTATCTTTAATCTAATCTTCCTTAGTTGGCCATTTATGGTATGTCTTTCCCTGTACTCTTTTATTCACACTGGATCATATCTTTGCTGAGTGTTTTGTATCTTCTGAAATGTCTATCACTGCATCTCTACTGACTGACCCCTTAACGCTATTTCCCAGTTCACTTTAACCAGCTCCATCTTCATTCATTCACAATTGCCCTTTCTTAAAAGCTTATAACACTAGTATTCAATCCTCTCTCCTCTCCCTTAAACTGAAAAGAGAAATTCAATCATATTATGATTATTGCAACCTAGGGTTGAGTTCATTAATTTTAGGGCCTAAACTCTCCCATGTCCCAGCACCCTACCCCACACACCGGGTCTTGTTACCACATAGCCTGCCATTACACACTACCTGTTGTTAGTCACTAACAGTCCCCATTAACAACTATTCACCCTCCCAGCCTCATTGTTAATAACTTCTTTGTCTGTTGAACTGTCTTTCTCTCTCTTTGGGCTCTAGCCTATCGTTTACTCCCTACCCCACCCACCTCCCTATTTTTCTGCATATAAACTTATGTTTTCCCAGCCACCATCAGTTCTGAGGAAAGGTCACCGGACCCGAAATGTTAACTCTGTTTTTTCCTTCACGGATGCTGCCAGACCTGATGAACTTTTCCAGCAACTTTGTTTTTATTCATTAATCCTATCTCATTGTACATTTTCTCTAGTAAACCCTGCTCTCTGGCTGGTTCTAGAACATGCTGATCTAAGAAACTGTCCTGAAAACACTATGAATTAATATTCCAGCTACCTTCGACAATCTGTTTCATCCAATCTGTATGTTGATGAAAATCGCTATGATTATCATTGTACCTTTCTCAGAGGCCTTCATTATTCCTTCCTGTATATCCTGCCTACAGTGTAATTATTCGAGGGCCCATTGACTACTCCCTTAAGTAACTTCCTATCTTTGCTATTTCTTATCTCTAATCAAATGGACTTTCTACATCTTAATGTTTAGAACTAAGGTCATCCCTCTCTATTTCACTAATGTCATCCTTAATTAACAGAGCTATTCCTCCGCCTTTGCTTAGCTTCCTGTTCTTCATGAAAGTCATGTACCCTTAAGTATTCAGGTCTCAGCTTTCAGTGTCTTGCAGCCATATCTCTGTAATGATTATCAGATCATAAATATTTAGTTTTATTTGAACTGACAATTCAACTGCTACGCGCATTCAGATGCAGAGACTTTATGAACAAGGAACAAGTATAGATTACTCAGCCCTCAAAGCCTGCTCTGTCATTCAATTAGGTTGTGCCCAATATGATTTTAACCTCAACTCTACATTCCTGCAATAATTTTTCATCCATTGGTTTTGATTTAAGGCATGATTATATTGGATGGAATAGGGATTTGCTTGAATTTCTGCCAGTTTCACACTACGTAGAAAGCAGGACTACAGAGCAGGAGACTGGGTTTAACATTTTCATCATTAGAGGGTAGCTACTTAAAATAGAAGTGACAATTTGTGATCTAGAGAAATAGATCAAAAAGACGTGGGGTGTTGATAATTCAAGATTCTGAGTCTTCTTCAACTCTACTTTTGCAGTAGGGAGTCTATTTATTTAAATAAGTCTCATCTATCTACTCATTCCTCCCCAATTTTCTGTTCTTGTGGAAAAAGGGTTTGCATTTATATCGTGCTTACCACAAACTGAGAACATCCCAAGTGAAACCCTTCATATAATGCCACTTCTGTAATTTAAGAAAAATGGCAACCAATTGCACACCGTAAGCTCCCACAAACAGCAAAGTGATAATGACCTGATAATCTGCTTTAGTGATAACGGTTAAGAAATATATAGTGACCAGGATCAGACAGAATTTTCTATTTTCAGTCAAAAAGGCATTCTGGGCCTCAGTTTAATTTCTCACTGACTGCAGTGAGCTTCAGAGGTCAGGTCCCTCCTACCCTTTCTCAATGCTTGCACTTTTGAGAAAGTTCAGTGTTTTGGAATAAGCAACACCAACTCTGGATGAATTTTGCTTTAAATCAGGAGTAAAACAAAATGACAGCCCTTTTGCAATGTGTTGTGCAGTCCGAGGTCATCTACCTGAGCACAAATCAGCAGGTTTGATATCTGTGACCTTCCTGGTCTGTGCCCTTCAACTAATGATTTCATCTGGATCCTAGGCTCCACCTGCCTTAGAGCTGAAAGGTTAACTGACTAGCTGAGGGCTCCAGTGCCCCATTTCAAGAACCTATTAGCAGAAGCTTAGATCTCCTACACTTTCTTCGCCTTTTCCGTCACTTCGTATATCTGGTCTCCATATTACAAACAGAATAAAATACTGAAGAAAATGCAAAAAGTAAAGTTACAATGTTGATACCAGAACGGAGAGGATCCAATGCAAGAATAAATTAACAGGCTGATAAGAAAAGGCTGAGCGGTAATTTGATAAGCAGTATTTAAAATTTTGAAGATTTTGTTCGGGTAGACATAGAGAAAATGTTCCCATCAGTGGGGAATTTGAACCTAGGAACTTTAAAGACAGGATAGTCAATAATAGATTGAATTGGGAATTCAGGAGAAACCTCATTACCTTTAGAAATTATAATGTAAAACTCAGTGCCACTTATAGAAAATACAACAGACACATTCAAGGGGAACTGGATAAGTACGCAACCCGGAATGGAATGCAAGGATATGCTGAAGAACTAAGGTGGGGAGAGGTCTGTGCAGCAGAAATCTGGCAGGCCAAATAGCCTGTTCCTACACTATAAATTCTACCTAATTCAAATATATGTGAATAAATAGAGAGTGAAATAATTGGGAATTAGACACAGGAGCATTTTTCTTTGTGAACAAGTGGAGAGACTCAGCCACAGTCTTGGGTTTACCTGCAGGTGGCAGTGTTGGACAACACTATTTGGCTGAATCGAGATCTCCCCATCCAGCAGGCTGTTGATGACAGAACAGTCCTCACGCACGAGAACAGGATGCTTCAACAAGAACCAAACAAATCACACAAGATCAGAAGCTTCATCCTATTTTGTTTTGTATCAAATAGAACACAATGGCTGTAAACTACACAACGAATCCCAAACAGTTGAATTTCAGCACAGCTATCAATATCTTCAATGATGATTTGTATTTACATGCTGACTGCAATAATGTAGTGAAATATGGCAAGGTGCTTCACAGGAGCTTAATCAATGAAAGGTGATATTAGGTCAGATTGCCCACAACTTGATAAAAGAGGCAGGCTTTAAGCAAAGTCTTTTAAGAGAGATATAATGAGGGTTCAGGATTAAATTCCAGACCTTCAGGTTTTGAAAAAAAAGGCAAGGGCTACAAATGGTGGAGAGACATCCAGGAGAATTCTGGAAGAGGCGGTGGTTTTGATTTGGGAGAGGGGTAAAGAGGCTATTTTGTTGCTACTCGAGTGTGGACTAATCTGCCTTCTGTGCTGGCTCCTCCTTCTGGTGACAAGGAGGAAAAGGGAAGGGACCAGAATCAATCGTCCCAGATATAGGAGTGGGAGACAGCAAGGTCATCCTTTGACCAAGTGTGGAGTTGGGGGAGTTGCAATTGTTGTATTTTGAAGCTGGTGCAAAAGCCAAAGCAAAAATTGGTTAGTTTCAATTGCAGAGTGAACAAGATGACGACTTTGCTATGTGTCCGTACAGCGTCTTGCGTTCACAGGGTGTAGTTGCCTCTGACTAGGCCAGCACTTACAGCTTATCCCTGGTTGCCCTTCAGAAAGTGGTGGTGAGCTGCCTTCTTGAACAGCTGCAGTCCACGTGCTGTGAGTTGACCCACAATACTGTTAGAGAAGGAATTCCAGGTCTTTAACCCAGTGACAGTGAAGGAACACCAATATATTTTTCCAAGTCAGGATGGTGAGTGGCTTGGACGGGAACTTGTAGGTGGTGGTGTTCCCATGCATCTGCTGCCCTTGTCCTTCTAGATGGAAGCAGTCACAGATGTGGAAGGTGCTGTCTAAAGAGCCTTGGTAAATTTCTGCAGTGAGTTGTGTAGACGGTGCAGACTACTGCTAACAAGGAATATTAAAAAGGAGTAGGCCATTCAGTCCCTTGATTCTGTTCTGCCATTCAATGAGATTGTGGCTGATCTAACTCCATATACCCTAACTCTAACCCTACCACCTTTGGTTCATATGCTTTAATATCTTTACTTAATAAGAAATTATCAGTCTCAGATTTAAGATTAACTGAATGTCAGTGGTGGAAAGAAGGAATGTCGATTGGCCTTGGAAAGAGGAGAGTAAATCAGCATACAAAGACGCTACTTACATTGGTGAGGAAATCCAGATCAAAAAGACACAATCTTTATTTAATAGACAAGCTCCTTAGGGATGAAACAAAAAAAATCACACAAAGAGGAATGGAATGATGAAGCTCTCCTTCTGAATATGCCACAGATGCTGAGTCAATTGATATTTTTATGATTGATACTGGTTCAGGCTATCAAGGGACACGGGAGCAGCTATTTGAAGGTCAGTCCACATTTAGACAGTGGCAGTCTTTTAAAAGTAATATAGTGGGAATTTAGGGCCAGTGTGTGTTTCACCAACTGTGAAGGGTGAAGGCAGGAAGTCCAAGGGACTTTGGATGTCAAGGGATATTCAGAATTTGATAAAGAAAAAGAAGGAAGCACATGTTAGATACAGTGCATTAAAAACAGGGGAGGCCTTTCAGGAGTACAAAGTGTGTAGGAAGTTGCTTAAAAAGAAATTAAGAGGGCAAAGAAGGGCCATAAAATACCTTTGGCAGATAGAATTAAGGAAAACCCCAAGACATTCAATAAGTGTATTAAGAGCAAGAGGACTACCAGAGGCCTATTAGAGACCAAACGGGCAATCTGTGCAAGGATACGGGAGCAGCCTTAAATAAATATTTCTCAACTGTGTTCACAAAGGAGAAAGGCATTATAGTTGGAGACTTCAATTGGGATTGTGAGGTTCTCGAGCAGGTTAAGATTAATAAGGAGGATATATTAGAAGTTTTAGTGGGCATAAAGATGCATAAATCCTGAGGACCTGATGAGCTGTATCCCAGGCTGTCATGGGAGGCAAGGGAGGAGGTAGCTGGGGCTCCGGTGGAGATACTTTGCTGGCCACAGGTGAAGTGCCAGATAACTGGGAGATAGTTAATGTACTTTCTTTGTTCGAGACGGGCAGCAGGGATAGGACTGGTAATTACAGACCAGTTAATTTGACATCAATGGGAGGAAATTATTGGAAAAAATTCTGAGGGACAGGTTAATCAACACTTGGAATGGCAGCAGTTGATCAGGGATAGTCAGCACGGATTTGTTAGAGGGAGATCGCCTCTGACAAATTTAATTGGGTTTTTTGACTAAATCTATTGATGGAGGTGGTGATGTTGTTTACATGGGCTTCAGTAAGCCCTTTGACACAGTCCCACATGGAAGGCTGGTCCAAAAGGTAGCAGTCCATGGGGTCCAAAGGCAAGTTGGTAAACTGGATTCAAAACTGGCTTGCAAACAGGAGGCAAAGGGTGATGGTAGAAGGTTGTTTTGTAATTGGAAGCTTGTGATCGGTGGTGTACCACAGGGATTGGTGCTGGGATCCTTGCTGCCTGTTATGTATATTAATCTCGTGGGTTTGAATGTAGAAGGTATAATTACTATGTTTGCACGAAAATTGGTGGTGTTGTTGATAGGAGGATGATCTCAGGCTACAGTCATATTGATCAGCAGATGAAATTTAATCCTGGTAAGTGCTAGGTGATGCATTTTGGTAGTCTAATAAGGGAAGGATATGATAAGAGTAGGTCCCCAGGGAGTACTGACGAACAAAGGGACTTTGGTGAACAAATCCACAGATCCCTGAAGGTGCCAGCACAGCTAGATAGGGTGGTTAAAAAGGCAAAAGAGATGCCTGCCTTCATTAGTCAGGGCACAGAATGTAGGAGCAGGGAAGTCTTGTTACAACTTTATATAACATTGATTAGGCCACAGATGGAATACTCTGTGCAGTTCTGGTTGCCACACTTTCAGAAGGATATGACTGCACTGAAGAAGGTACAGAGGGGATTCACCAGGATACTGCCTGGGATGAAAAGTCTCAGTTATGAGGAGAGACTGGATAGGTTGAGTTTGTCTTCCCTAAAGCAGAAGAGGCTGAGGGGGGATCTGGTTGAAGTGTACAAAATTATGAGGGGCACAGATAGGCTAGATCATAAGAACCTTTTCTGTATGGCAGACATGTCTAAAACTTGGGGGGCTAAGTTTAAGGTGAGGACCAAGTGGTTTAGAGGAGATTTGAGAAAAAACATTTTCACCCAGGAGTGGTAGGAATATGGAATATGCTGCCTAGGAGGGTGGTGGAGGCTACTACTCTAACAACATTTACGAAGCATCTGGACGAGCACTTAAAATGCCAGGACATAATAGGACCAAGTGCAAGTAAATGGGACGAGCGGAGTTTAGTGTTTGTTGCTTGCCATAGACATAATGGGCCAAAGGGCCTGTTTCTATGCTGTATGACTCTATGGATTAAAGTGAGAGAGGCTATTGAGTTTAAATGGAGTTAATGTATAGATTAGCCTTGAATGAACTGAGTACCATACTATGGTGCCTCTACTCACTAGGCGCGGGGTGAGTTTGAATTATGTACCCTAATAACCGAAGATACCTAGGCTGCTTCAAGAGGGTGATGGGAGGGAGGGTGGGTGATGGGAGGGGGGGTCAATACGTAGCTGTATTGTTGGTAGGTCCTATAGTATGGAAGTGGGTGTTACGTACTGTCAGCTCAGAATGGACAATGTGGCGGGCCACGAAACAGCTCGACATGCTGCCCCTCCGGGTCAAGTTCCGTATGTGATCATCTGCCGACAAGCTCATGTAGTCATAGCAACCATCAGCTATGTAGGCTGCAAAGCATAACAAACATTACCATGTCAGCCCTGGCTCAGTTAGTAGCAACCTGACCTCTTGAATCAAATGGCATAGAGTTCAAATCCCACTGTAGAGACGAGCAAATGTGTAGCTGAACCATACAGACAAGCAGAGGCCCAGAGTGCAGTTGGACCATACAGGCGAGGAAATGCCTAGAGTAGAGTTGGACCATAGAGACTAGGAGAGTGTCATGTCTCATGGTTCGTATACACAAATGAGACATGCTCATAATATCGTCTTCATATTACAGCACGTGTATAAAGCCCTCATACGCCATCTTACCAGGGATCACTGAAAGCATGCAAATTGAAGCAATGCGGCTCTTTGTGACTGAATAGCTTAATGTGAACCTACACACTGATGTGTCTGTAAACGTTATATTTGTGTTTGTGAGCTACAGTAAATGTCTGCTGGATTCATTAATACCACGTTATCCATGTTCAATTTCTTACTTTAGGAGTTGCTTTAGGTTAAAAAATCTTGAAGGCAAAACTCACATCTTTAGAGGCCCATAGTGGAGCTGAACCATACAGGCATATTTTTGTCTGTCAGTATGTAACTGGGGAGAGGTAATATCTGAAAAGTTAAACTGTAGTTCAGTAATTATACTTAGGAATTCAAACATAAGATTGCAGCCATCACTCACCTACAGTGACAGGAATCCCACGGAGCTCCTGCCACAGCACAGCTCTGGCACTCCTCATGATGGCCATATCAGTGCTATCAGTTATGCTGGGCTTTGCAATATCACTGCTCTGCAGAATCCGACTTGCTCTGTTCACAAAGATGTCTTCAGAAGTATGGCGTGCCATGCAAAGCAAGATGTCAAAGAAAATAGACAGCTGTTGGGAGGGAAGAACGTATATCAAGCAATAGAGGCAAAATTGACAGCTGGATTTTTCAGCAAAAAACCTTTTAAATTATACACCAAGGCATAGGGTTAGGGTTAGGATTAGGAAATTTCCTCTCAAGGTAATGACTAATGTTGGGGCACAAACCTGTTGGTCACCCTCTAAACCAGTGTACACACTTCAACCAAAGAATTGGACCCTGCATCAATGTGCCAAGCACTGGTACCTTTCTGCAAGCTTCTCAGCTACGGCTTTGTGCATAACAGTGCTCACTTCTATGTCAGATTCATGAGATCGAGTCCCATTCCATAGACCTGAGCGCATAATCCAGGCTGACACCCCAGTGCAGTTTTGAGATGAGTACTGCGTTGTCAAAGATGTCATCTTTCAGATGGGAAGTTAAACTGATTCGTCAGTTGGCTATAGGTTCAGTTATTGAGTGCACTCAAGGATGGTAGAGGAGTCAACACTTCCGTTAATACTAGATGAGACTGAAAGATACTCCTGTCATTTAGATGCTTGTAGGACGTGGGTGACATTGGCAATGCCAGCATTTATTACCCACTCCTAGTTATCCTCAGAAGATAGCAATGGGCTTGTCTTGCTGCAGTCCCCTGTTCTGAAAGCAGACTTCCTGGGCCGCTAAGATTTTAAAAGTACCTGAATGGGACGAGTCCCCGAGTCCAGACCCATATAGGTACAGGAGTCCAGAGGAGGAGTGACGTGTGTGGCCAGGAGTTTCTCAGCAGTCTCCCATGAGAAGAACACAATACCGGATACCTGGAGGAACATGAAGCAACCATGGACTGAGATGAGACTTTTATTCTTTCCCAAGCTGCAATTTATGAACGTACTGTACATTTGATTCATATTCCCTCTATGCTCCTGTTGTAAAGCATATTCTCATTCAAATATCTGGTTCCTTATTCAGTAATTACTCTTCCTGTTGGCCTCAGTGAGCCATTATTCATCTGCAGCAACAACACACTGTCCTAACTTGGGACGTAGAGTGGAGACCAATGGCTGACATTGCTCCATTTGATGGTCCTATTCGGAGATGGGTCATCCCGCTAGAAATCACTCATGACCAGAGTAAAGTGGAGGTAGAATACCAAATAAGTAGTGTTTCATCTGTGGTTAAAACCTGGGAGCAGGTGTCAGGAAGACAGTTACTGGACTGTAAAAGGCTATGTAAGTGTGCAAATATTCCTGCATGGCATCCTTACTGCTCTGTGCCCATCAGAACAAAGAGATTGCTTCAATCTCAGTTTTGGAAGTTTCATTGACACTCAGCATCCACTATTTTTTAGGGGAATGAGTTCCAGATGTCCACTCCCCTTTATGTGAAAATGTGATTAATGCAGCATGGAAACAGACCCTTTAGTCCAACTCATCCATGCTGACTAGATATCCTCAGTAAATCTAGTCCCATTTGCCAGCGTTTGGCCCATATCCCTCTAAACCCTTCCTATTCATAGACCCATCCTTTTAAATGTTAGAAATGTACCAGCCTCCACCACTTCCTTTGGCAGCTCATTCCATACACGCACCACCCTCTGCGTGAAAAATTTGCCCCTTAGGTCCCTTCTAAATCTTTCCAATCTTACCTTAAACCTATGCCCTCTAGTTCTGGATTCCACTACCCCAGGGGAACGATCTTGGCTATTCATCCTATCCATACCCCTCATGATTTTATAAGCCTCCATAAGGTCACCCCTCAGCCTCCAATGCTCCAGGAAAAGTAGCCCCAGCCTGTTCAGCCTTTCCCTGTAGCTCAAATCCTCCAACCCTGGCAACATCCTTATAAATCTCTTCTGAACCCTCTCAAGTTTCACAACACCCTCCCTATAACAGGGAGATCAGAACTGCATGTAGTATTCCAAAAGTCCACCCAAATAACTTCCCTAGATGTACTCCCAGGAATATCCTCCCTAAGTACAGCTGTAATGTTATCCCTAATCAAAAATGCCACTCCACCTCATCTCTTGCCCCTCTTTCTATCCTTCCTATAACATTTATTACCCTGGAACATTAAGCTGCCAGTCCTATCCATTCCTGAGCCACGTTTCTGTAATTGCTATGATATCCCAGTCCCATGTTCCCAACAATGCCGAGCTCATCTGCCTTACCTATCAGGCTCTCACATTGAAATAAATGTAGTTTAATTTATCAGTTCTACCGTGTTCTCTGCTTTTTTCCTGCCTGTCCTGACTGTTTGACTTATTCCTTTTCCCAACTGCACCAGTCTCAGACTGATCACTTTCCTCATTATCTCCCGGAGTCCTCCCCTCGCCCTTACTAGTTTAAATTCTCCCGAGCAGCTATAGCAAATCTCCCTGCCAGTATATTAGTCCCCTTCCAAATCAGGTGCGATCTGTCCTTCTTATACAGGTCACTTCTAAACCAGAAGAGATTCCAGTGATCCAAAAATGTGAGCCCCTGCACCAGTGCCTCAGCCACACATTCATCTGCACTACCCTTCTATTCCTACTCTCACTTGCTTGTGGCACCAGGAGTAATCCTGATATTACTACCTTCGGGGATTTCCTTTTTAGCTTTCTGCCTAATTTTCTATATTCTCTCTTTAGCACCTTGTCCTTTTCTCTTCCTATGTCATTAATTTCAATGTGTACAACAGCCTCCTGTTGGAGGGAGAATATTCTGCACCCTCTCTAAGATATCCTTGATCCTGGCACCTGGGAGGCAACACACCATTGTGATGTCTCGTTGTTGGCTGCAGAAATGTCTGTCTGTGCCTCTGACTAGACAGTCCCCTATCACAATTGCTTACTTGGAACCTGATGTACCCCACGTTACAGTACAGCTAGTCTTGGTACCAGAAACTTGGCTGTTGGTGCTACATTCCCCTGAGAGTCCATCACCCCCTGCATTTTCCAAAACAGCATACTGTTTGAGATGGGGATAGCCACAGGAGACTCTTGCACTACCTGCCTACCTGCCTTACCCTTCCTGAAGGTAACCCATCTACTTGACTGTATCTGCAGATTTTCTCCCTTCCTGAAACTGCCATCCATCACATCCCTTAGCTCCTGTGAATTCCTCATTGCCTCTAATTGCCAGTCCAGCCGATCCATGCACTCCAATAAGATTTGTAACCAAACACACTTCCTGCAGACATAATTATCAGTAAGATGGAAACTCACCCTAATCTCGCATATTCGATAGGAAGAGCACATCACTCTACTAAAGGCCATCTTTGCATCTTAATAATCTACAGACTCAGAAAAAAGCACAGTCTTACTGCTCTAAAAACACTGTTCCAGGATAATTTAGTATCTATGTTTTATATTTTAAGCTTAGTCAAGAGGCAGATCTGAATAAAACATATAATCTAAAAGAACCTTCTCTACCCATACTGTAGATGGGCAAAAAAAAGTATGGTTACACTTTTAAAAAATGCCACTAAGCTGCTCCCTTGCTGTGAGCTCTCCCACATAAGCTTCTTCAAGGTCAGCTGTGAATTTCACTGTTTGTTTATTCTTCTTAGAACAAACTCCAATGTCCAGTGATACTTGAAGTTAAAGGGCAGAGGCAGTCAGCTGTGCAAGTTCACTGCTGGGTCAGACAGCTGTGCAGTTTTTTTCTGTTTTTTCACCTGCCCCATGGTATCTGCCTTGGTCTCTCTTCCTCCTTTCTTTAAAGTGTGTGTTGTTTTGATTTTTTTTAAAGTTCCAAAACAATGCAACAGCTTATAAGACAGTAATTACTGCTCTAAAAATTCGAGGAAATCGGCTACAACACTGAAAATACCTCAAAAAAGGAGCAGCTCTTACAGCCACAACTTTTTCCCGTCCTCCATCTATAATCTGGCTCGAATCTTAAGATCATGCCAAGTTCTGGATTCTCTTACCAGAGAAAACAGAGGAGCGTATTGTTTGGAAAGAAGAGGCTATATACCATATACTAGCACTAAAGACGAAAATCTAACGTATTCAGCACACAGCACTGAATAGTTCAATGAAAGCTCCACTGAACTGTCCAATATGAGCAGAGTTATGATGAGGCTTGAACCCAATGTATGCACAGAGTGTAGGTGCTTCAGGTCATATCAGATCTTCAGAAATACTGTGGGCAACTCAAAACACATTATTGATCGTCTGATGTCCACACAGCAAAGATGACTGCTTTACCATCAGAAGTAGAAACTATGGCTGATTTTCACCATTTCAACACCAATTATTTTCCTCAACTGTCATTATTGATTGTCTTATCAAAAGAACATCTTAAATGCCCATATTTAAAGTCCCTAACACCTCTACCTTAATTGCACCAGCCACAGAACTGAAAGATTCTACTATGGACACCTGTAAGGCTTCCCACGTTTTGAGCTGAAGCACAAACATAAAATTAAAGGCAAGCGCACCAGAAAATAAACATTTAAGTGCATCAAGAGCACTGCCAAAGATGCCACAGAACACAAAAGAAAAATGCTCAAAATTTTAAACAAAAACAGAAGTTGCTGGATTGTATAGTTATTCATCACTAAAGGGCAAAAGCTGAACTGATGACGATACCACTGAAGGGCAAAGAGAGATGCCTACATTCTCATTTTAAGATGGTTACTGCATTGCACTCTGGTCGCCCTGCTATAGGGAGGATGTTATTAAACTGGAAAGGGTGCAAAAAATATTCACAAGAATATCACTGAGACTGGAGGGTTTGAGACATAGAGTCATAGAGCTGTACAGCATGAAAAAAGACCCTTCAGTTCAACTTGTCCATGCTGATCAGATATCCCAAGTGTTTAAATTCTGTTTTAAGTTGTTGAGTACTAGTCCTCCTTTGGGAATAATTGAAAAGAATTTACATGCCAATCTTACATTTTTGTTAAGTATCTATTATTGAAGAATGCAAATGATCTAAAATTTTCGGTTCTGAGAAAGGGTTACCGAACCCGAAACGTTAACTCTGATTTTTTTCTTCACAGATGCTGCTAGTCCTGCTGAGCTTTTCCAGCAACTTCAGGTTTTGTTTAAAATTTCGACCATTTTTCTTTTGTGTTCTGTGGCATCTTTGGCAGTGCTCTTGATGCACTTTAATGTTTATTTTCTGGTGCGCTTGCCTTTAATTTTATGTTTGTGCTTCAGCTCAAAGCGTGGGAAGCCTCACAGGTATCCATGGTAGAATCTTTCGGTCCAGTAGCTGGTGCAAATGCTTTTAGTTTACACATATATTACAATCAACATCAGAACCTGCTGTCACTCCAATTTCAATGATTAACATTATGTTTCTGTTATTTTGAAATTGGCAAATAAATCTTTTAAAAGGATTACAAACATGGAGTAACCCAGTCCAAACCCACATTGCTACAATCTTCCCTCTTCTTGTCTTTCTTTTCTCTTGCTTGATTTGTTTGTTTGCTGTTTCTACTCTCTGCTTGTGCTGCACCTTAATCTTTGGATTTGCAGAGCTAGCAGACCGTCTTTTAAAAACATATCTCCAGTCAATTCTTTGCGCTGAGCAAAGTGAGGAATTATTAGTGAGGTGTGGAACAGTGCATGTTTTCACTTTGTACTACAGGTGCCACGTAATACTGAAGCGCACCTTAAGCGATTATCAAAGGCTTATTTGGAAACTTCTGATATGAGGGAGCAATGTGACAAGATAGTGGGATTTAGGGAGAAAGTTTCAACAGAGGAAGACATGAGGGAGAATCTTATCAGCAATGTGTGTACAGAATTTGGAATACACTGTCTGACAGGGTGATGGATATATATATTCAACAGTAACTTACAAAAGAAAATGTAATAAATATGAAAGGAAAACAGTGCAAGAATATGGGGAAAGAACTGGGGACTGGAACTATAGATTGCTTTTCAGAAGAGTCAGTCCAGACTTGATGGACTGAATGGACTCCTTCTGTACTATACTATTCTTTCATTCTCTAAGATCAATCGATACAAGGGGATAGGATCGGGGAGAAGGATGACAAAGAGAATAAGAAGTCCTTCCCACATACCAGAGGAACTTGACCATCCGATAATACACATTCCTCTATCCTTTCTTCTGTCCCTTTATAAATTATGTCACAGACGTAACCCTGGAAAACAGAAGAAGTGGAATCAGTTAGTACACAATCCCATCCCAATCCCAATCCCAATCTCAGTCACCCACATATGGGAGCCACACTTGTGCTGGCTCCACCTTACTTCAGAGATGAGGAGACATGCTTACCCTGCTTACAGATCTGGGCATGGAAAACTGACCTAATAATGAGGAAGGGATAAGGCAGCAATACTACGGTCAGCTCCCAGTACTGAATTTCCAGACCTTGAACCTCAGACCCCAGCAAAGGCCTCAGCTTCATGGCAGCTCAGTGGGCGGCACGGTGGCTCAGTGGTTAGCACTACGGCCTCACAGCGCCAGAGACCCGGGTTCAATTCCAGCCTCGGACGACTGTCTGTGTGGAGTCTGCACATTCTCCTTGTGTCTGTGTGAGTTTCCAGGTGCTCCAGTTTCTTCTCACAGTCCAAAGATGTGCAAATTAGGTGGATTGGCCGTGCTAAATTTACCCAGTGTTCAGGGATGTGTAGGCTACATGGATTAGCCATGGGAAATGCAGGGTTACAGGAATAGGTAAGGGGATGGGTCTGAGTGGGATGCTCTTCAGAGAGTCAGTGGTGCGCTGAATGGCCTGTTTCCCCATTGTAGGGATTCTATGATTCCTACTTAAATGAAGTGAGCTCACATGATGCTGAACTCTTCTTCTTGACCATCCCCACGCTCCTAAATTTTAGGTTAGGCATCTTGCTGCATACAGTGGATCTCCTCACACACTTGTGAAATTTCCATTCCAGGTGGAACTCCTACCTCTGAAGCTGACCATCTTTATAATCTTTCTTTGGGAACTGCTGCTGTGACATCAGGCACCTTAATTTTCCTGCTCTCCACTCTCACGCAAGCCCGTCTCTCTCTGAATTTACAGCCCAATGTTTTCTTAGGGTTGACCCTAACCTTATGCCAGCTGACAAGGAACGTAGGGATGCAGATGGGTGAAACAAACACTGCCGAGCACAGGGGAAACACTAATTCTCTTACATTCCCCCTTAACTCCCTGAACCATGACCTCACCACCGACTGCTAAGCCAGACTATCACTTATTCTATCTGGAGATAATTTTCCAACTGCATCCATAGCCAATGAAAACTACATAATTCACTTCTAGCTCCTTTCCAAGATCCACAAACAGGACTCTTCCGATCTACAGTACATCCGTGACATTTCTGATATCTTCTACCATTTTAATTATCTCCAGTTTCTTCACCTGTCTCTTTTTCACCACAGACATCCAATTTCCTGACACTTCCGTCCCTCACCAGGGCACGATGAGGATTCTCCACTTTTTCACTGAATGGATGTCCAAGCAGCTTTCTGCCACCACCGTCGTCTGCCTGGCTAAACCTATTCTAACAGTGAACAACATCTCCTTTCATTCATGTACTTCCTCCAATAAAATGGGCAGCATGGTGGCTCAGTGGTTAGCACTGTTACTTCACAGCGCCAGGGATCCAGGTTGGAAGACTGTCCATGTGGCGTTTGCACATTCTCCCCATGTCTGCATGGGTTTCCTCTGGGTGCTCTGAATTCTTTTGACAGTCCAAAGATGTGCAGGTTAGGTGGATTGGCCATGCTAAAATGCCCACAGTGCCCTGAGATGTGCAGGCTAAGTGGAATTGCCACAGGAATTGAGGGCTTACAGAGATAGGGTAGGTCTGGGTGGGATGCTCTTTGGAGGGTCAGTGCGGACTTGATGCGCTGAATGACCTCTTTCTGTATTATAGGGATCCTATGGCTCTTCTATGATACTATGAATAAAAGATGCTGCAATGGAAACCCATGTGGGTCATGTCCGTGTTTCTCATTTCATGGAGTGTGTGGTGAAATTTCCTTCAATTTAATCCTACTCAGTTTCTATTTTTGTAAATGATCTCGACTTGGGACTCAAAACAATTTCTGCACTTTTAAACATTAATCAAGTTAGAAAGACCCTGGTGGGGCACTGTAACAAAAAAAAAAATCACAGTTGGTAGAAACTTACTGAAATCAAATCAAATATCATTGTCCAGGGAGATGAATCACCTCAGCCCCTGTGGTGCCTACTAGTCTCTAAAGGCCTCTCCTTTGCCAGTGGATACCACATGCTCGCTTTTGGTAGACATTTGAGCGTGGACACAACCACAGACGTGGGGCAGACAGTTAGACACTAGGATACCCTCCACGGCCTACTGCCTGGTGAATCTGACTAGGTCCAGAAGCAGGTCAGTGATGAGGCCTTCCATTCAATAAAATTCCTAAATTTGTAAAGAAAATGGCAAATTGGGAGCTGCAGCTAATGTGAAAGCAAACTGCAACAAAATGAGACATTACTCGCCTTGTAGAATGGGCAGTTAGTTGGTTAATTAATGTCAATTCATTTAGCTGGAGGTGGTGCTTTTTGGTAGGAAGAATAAGCATGTCAAATGCTACTTGCATAATGAAAGTTGAAATGGGGTACAGGAGCAAAGGGATAGAATCAAAGAATTGTAGGGTCATACAGCATGGAAACAGACGCTTTGGTCCAACCAGTCCATGCCAAACATAATCCAAACTAAACTAGTCTCACATGCCTGCTTCAGGCTCATATTCCTCCAAACCTTTCCTATTCATGTACTTATCCAAATGTCTTTTGAATGTTGTAATTTAACCCACATCCACCACTTCTTTAGGAAGTTCATTCCACATGCAAACCAGTCTGTGTAAAAAAATTAGACCCTCATGTCTTTTTTAAAATCTCTCTCCTCTCACCTTAAAAAGGTGCCCCTAGTCTTGAAATGCCCCATCCTAGATCTGAGAGTATAAATGCAAAAATCATTAGAGCAACAATGCAGCTTCATAAGGTCATTAAAAAAAAGGCAAACAAAATATGGGGGGTGGAACCAAAAAGCAGACAAATTATGCTAAATTTGTACAGAAGCTTGGTTAGACTAGAACAGAATGAACAGTTCTGGCAATAGCAAAGATTCATTCATGGGGATCTTAGAAAAACTCAGAAGATGAAAGAACAGAAAAGTTTGCTGACAGTGGTAAACTGGAGAGGGATGGAAGATGACTCATGTGGACCATAAATGCTGATGAAGTAACTGCACAGAGGCTGGTATCCGTCACCAATTCACCCTTTATTTATACATGAGCAGTCCCCGACTATAGCACTGGCTCATTCTGAGTCAGTTACCAGAGTATCAACATCTCTGATACTTCACTTTTTATATGTTAGCCAGGGCTCCCTGATTAGAACAGATTAACAGCCCCAATCAGGGAACTCATATTCTATGATGTCCAGCTGGCTGACCTCGTTACAATCACTACAGCCGGCAAAAAACAGTTGGGCTGAACGTCCTGTTCCTGTGCTGTCGACTCAATATTTTCTTGGAATTAAGAGACAGAGAGTAAGTGGGTTCTAAAATGATGCTTGGAGTGCTGTGCATGAAGGATTCTTACCTCTTGGTCAATGAGGTAGACGCCATGATTCCTGGCATAACTGACTGTGCCAGGGACAGACACCACTTTGACACCAGTAAATCCTTCCCAGCAAATATCTACAAAAGGAACCAGAACATTTACAGACCATCAAAATAACACATTACTGGTCCAACAATCTAGATCAAATGCATTTCAACAAAAGTATGTAGCAATGCAGTGAAGTCTCTGTCTTTATCATTTATGACACAGTAGCCATCAACGATATGGCACCAAGCCAAATGACCTGGTAGGGTTTAGGCCTTTACATCTGTCATGAACTAAGTTAGGTGATGTTGAACAGAGAATTTCTGGCCGTGGTGTCCCTGACGAACAATAAGGAGTGCTGGGGTAGGGAAGAAATCTATTTTTGTTCTGAAACCAGACAGTGAAACAGAAACCAGATGTTAAGCTTATACTTAGTACTATATTTACTTACAGAATGCAAACTTATATATATATATATATACTAGTTCCTCCCTTAAAAAAACACCCAAAACTCCCTTTATACTATTTTTAAAACATATAAGCTAATAACCAAATTAATGCACAAATTTAAGGATCAGTCATTACAGGGGCATTGTAGCAAAAAAAAATTCAAATGAAACGTACAAAGTAAAATTAAAATTTCGTCCGCTGGAGAAAATGCATTCCACCACAAAGTGCCCAGTGGTTGTAGAAGACCTCAATTGTACAAGTAGGCACCATGCACACCCTCGCTAGGTACACCTGGGTACAGACATAATCACAAAAGACAGGCAGACTTCTCAGAGTTAGGTTAAAATTGCCAAAAGTCATACAATTGCAGAGCCCTTTAAGAGTCAAGCAGAACCATCTCACCTTACCAGAAGACAAAACACTGGGATTTGGGATTTGAAACTGCATCCTTCTAGCATTAGCCTGGACGTATGGATGCTGGTCCAGTGACCTTCACATTATGCTACTATCTTCTAAGTATCTCTTCATATATGCTGTTAATCTACCTGCTTGGACATGTGATGACACATATCCATAAGCTTCACATTCTCATCGCATCTTGAGATGGGATTTAAACCTAGACCTCCTGGCTCATAGGTTGGGACACTACCACTGTGCCATAAGATCCCGAAGTGGCTCTTTATACTTCTTTGCAGAAGTTTATCTTTAAACTGTTTTGAAGGAACAATGAAAGTAATTGATTGCCCCTTAATGAAGCAGTGTAGAAAAAACAAAACTTTAAAGGAAACTTAGAATACTATAGCAAACTCTCTTTACACACAAACAGTCAATAAAAACAACTGATTAAATGAATTCATTAAATAAAGGTGTACAAAATGATCAGAGGTATAGATAGAGTGGACAGCCAGAGACTTTTTCCTAGGGTGGAGGTAGCTATTACGAGGGGGCATAGTTTTAGAGTGAGTGGAAGTAGATATAGGGGAGTCGTCAGAGATAGGTTCTTTACTCAGAGAGTGGTAGGGGCGTGGAATGCATTGCCGGAGGGGGTAGTGGAGTCGGCCTCATTAGGGGCATTGAAGTGGCTATTAGATAGGCATATGGATGATAGTATAAGGTAGGGGTGGAGGTTAGTAGACCTTAGGTTTAGGGTAAAAGTTTGGTGCAACATTGTGGGCCGAAGGGCCTGTACTGTGCTGTACTGTTCTACGTTCTATGTTTCAAAGGAATTACAGCCTATAAAGGGGCAAAACGAGCATCCAATGTTGGGGTGAAGATCACAAAACTGGGATTAAGAGTTCACTCCACTGTATGACAATACTTTGGCTTTAAGAGGTGTGCTTTGTCCTGATTTCTTTTAGACAGAGATTGGGGAACAGGGACAAGCAGTCTATGAGAAGATAAACAACTTGTGAAGCCTTGGGTGTTTTTTTTTAAAAAGCTGGAACAATACAAGCAGTCTGAATGTATGTGGTCAAGCTCCCACACACAGAACAAGGGATTTTAGGTTTAGCTTTCAGCAGAAGCTGCTGGGGTTGTGAAAAAGCTGCTACATCTTTCTTTGCTGCAGCTGAAAACTAGAGTTCTCTCTCTCTCAGAACTGTCTTTTGATATTCTTACCTCCTGGTTTGGAGAACTGCAATGTGACAGAGATAGTAGGAACTGCAGATGCTGGAGAATCTGAGATAACAAGGTGTAGAGCTGGATGAACACAGCAGGCCAAGCAGCATCAGAGGAGCAGGAAGGCTGACGTTTCAGGCCGAGACCTTTCTTCTTTCTGAAGGGTCTAGGCCCGAAACGTCAGCCTTCCT